AATTCGCTTGTTGGCGTAATTCACTCGTTGATGTATATTCTTTCAGTCCAAGGAGTTGCTTTATAAATTGAATCTCCAAGTTATTCATAATCAGGGACTGTGTACCTTCACGAATATTTAAAGTTTTCCCCGGAGTGGGAAAATTCCATACTTATTACGTCCAACTTCAGAATGCCCGGCAACTGCCAAAGTTTTTGCAGAGTCACATTCGGTAAGGATTTGATAAAGTACAGTCTTTAGCATTTCTACCGTCAGCATCTTCCAATTTCAAAATACCAGTGATTCTATTAAAAGATATTTCGGAATCTAATTAACAAAAAAATTTTTTTATCAATTCCCCCCAACAATCAATTTACTTACTTCTTGCACTTTTTTTCCGTCTGTCTTCTTTAATTCTTTATTTAGTTTATAATTAACTTCATCCAAAATGTGTTCAATAATACCACATTTGAGAACTAGAGAAAATCAAACGTTCATGTGTATATATATTTTAAAGTATAAAACAAAAGTTATATGATATGTTATAAATAGTACAAATACTTACGTTTATTAAAGAAGGCGTCACTTCGATCACATGTAGATCCAAATAATGTGGCTTATAATATAAGATTTTCTTTCGTCTGAGAATCGAAGGATGAGTTTTCAATCGAACAGTTTATGAATATCCAAATATGATTTTTGATGTGGTTCTTTTTTATTTTTTGCGTTCTTATTCTTATTTTTGACCGCTGTTATGATTCTTTCAGCAAGTTTATCTGCGAAGTAATTAACGTGGGTACCTCCTTTCGTAGTACATATTTTTGTTAACGAAACTTATCTATTATTTTGAATGAAGAATAACGAAATAATGTTAGAATTATACGAATTTCGCATAACCATTTAATGCAAGATCAAGGAAAAAAAAAAGAACTAAATACTTACATTATGGAAATGAGGATCTGTAGTAGGAAGGGCCCCAATTTATCATATACTAATGAAGATTGTAAGTCTTTGCGATCACTCACATACAATTGTATGTATTCTTTAAAATTATTGACGTTAACTGTACATTGTTCAAGAACTTTTGAACTTCCTTAACACCCCGCCAAATCGTATGCCAAGAGGGAAATTATGTCATCATCAAACCGAGTCATCTTAAATTTTTGAAGATCGGGCCTAAAGATGACCCACGTGTAGTCACAAGCATTTTCGGAACAAGTAGTGAGAATTGGTTGTTCGATTACGATCATAAAGTTTGGCGATATTTTTTGCCATTTGAAACTGTTCCAAAATGAACTCAATACTGTATAAGTTTGCTAATTTAGTACCGAAACCATTACGACCACCGGAAACTTTCTTTTCCTCATCATCATAATTGGAAGCTGCGAAAAGATGAGTTGTGACTTTTTCATCCTCGTGCATTCAATAGGGATTCCTTTTCCATTATTAAAGATGGAAATTTGATGTCCTTATTCGTCAATAAAAACTTTAATAAGGTTCATTTTATCGTTTCGAACCTGACATTAACGAAAAAAATTTTAAATAATCAACACACATCTTAACGATCAAGGTAACTAATAGACGTTTATAATAAACGTACCTTGTTGTTAACAGCGTTTACTAAGATTTCATCCACTATTTTATATAATCCAGGTACGTAGGTAATTTCTCTGAGAAGAAAGAAGAGAAGAAAGATATATGAGATGAGAATACATACTTAAGGATATTATGTAAGGCGTGTTGAAACCATGATAAACTTCAAAAAAATTACCTGTAAACAAGCCTTTGCATTTCAGAATTAAAAACCCTTTTCTTTTTAAGATTCAAGTAGACCAACATAAAAGTCGAGTCTCAGTAAGACATGTTCAATTGGATTCTTGATATATTTCTTCAACGGTTTTTCTTGGGGCTACAACTTCTTCAATGTGTGTTTTGCTTGGTAACCTCTTTTTAGGGTTTTTGAAATGGGCATTTTGTTTTCGAAGAACGTAGAAAATTTTTTGGCGTGACGTTCAAATTTTTTTTAGATGAAGCAACAAAATTTTCGATAATAACCGATATCACGTGCTATGACCGGCATTCTTAGTATATATTACAAGCATTTGAACAAAAAGCCAATAACCAAATTTATTTTAGATGCAGATCAATAGTAAACTAATCCGAATAAAGTTGGGATGTAAAAGTGTCGGTTGAAACTGCACCTTCTGACCAAAAAAGATGAAAATACTCGATTATCCCAGTTTTTGGATATGTTAATAATGAAGTATGAAATATGCAAAAGATTTTGCATATTTATTTGCAAAAAGCCTCCCTTATTGAAAGGGAGGCTGTTGAATGAACGAATTTATGTTTTCCCTCTCTCGGTCACTTTTGAGAGATTTATTGTTAGAATATTAAAATGTCATGCAACCAGCATCACCACCAACAATACAATGTTTAAAATTTTTCTATTACTTCAGTTTTATGGGTAATAAATGGGATGGTGTAAAATTTGTATGTTTATTTTTAAACAACGAATGAGCATAGTGGACATTTATCATTTTTTTTTAAAATTTGATAGGTCAGTTTTTGACTATTAAAAAATATTTTTCGGTTTTTTAAAATATTTTTTTAGAATAATTATAAAATGAATACAAACAATAGTTTAAAGATTGTAATAAAAATGATTCAAAATAGAAAATCTACTCAAATAAAGAAAAAGTTTTAAAATTTAATAAAAAGTAAGAAAATTTAAAAAGAATAAATATTACTTTGCAATATTAAATCAGAAAGTAAAATTAGAATGTTAAATAAAGAAGAAGGTATAATATTTTCGTGTCTATCATGCTATTTACCACAAATATTTTACAGAACAAAATAATAAGTAATTATTGTTTAAAATGGCAATGTAAATCCTATATAAATATTAGAAAAAGATAATAATATTTTTTTTTTTTAGAAAAACAGATGGCATCAAATATCATTACTAATATTTTTTCCAAAGTATATTGGAAACTAGGCGTGAATTAGTTGTTGAACTAATTGTTGTACATTATCGTAACTGAACATATAGAAAAAACCATGATTTTAAATTGAAAAAAAAAGAATAAATAATACTCGCGAACAAGCACGTGCAATTAGTTTTATCGTATCAGAAATGTTTCGTACACGTGATCATGTTTTACGGTACATTATTTAATTTGTATGAAATAATTCTTGAAATATAAAATGTTTGTTCTAATCTTTATGAATTCACGAAACGAACAATTTAGATACTACTTGCTCGGCATCGTTGCATCAATACGTGAAACATTTTTATTTATTTAATTTTTTTTTTTAAGATAATAAAATCAAAAGAAATTATGAGGTCTATATTTTTAAAAAAAAAAATTTTTTTTTTTATCATAATAATTATAAATCGATGAAGTAGGGAAAAAAAAAAAAGGTGCAAAATAAAGGTTGCGGGGGCAAAACACTTTGATTCGATGGTACCGTCGAAAAATCGAAACTATTTTAAAAATCTCGTTGACAAAAAAAAAATTATAATTTATTTAATAATATTTAAAAAGTTCATTTTCTATTTTCTTTACGAAGGCATTATATCCCTTGTGAATTTTTTTAATTTTCTTTTAAAAATTTAAAAATTATTTTATTTATTATTTTATTTAATTATTAAAAACAGATATAATGAAATAAATTTTAGTAAAAAAAAAAAAAATTCTAAATAATGGAGTGGAAGGTTATGTTAATTAATAAGGTATAAACCGTATAGTCCCGAAAATAAGCACACAGTGACATACAGGCATTTATTAGTATATAGGTGACGAATAATATAATAAAATTATGTGACAAATAAATAAATTACATAAAGGATAGTGTCACGGGGTGCTTATTTTCGGGACTATACGATATTCGGACTTTGAGGGAGGGAGTTAAATTGGGGAAGATCCAAAGATAATCGTCATCGGCGAAAGGTCAGCCCTCTAATCTGGCCGGGCACCACCTATTGCCCGTCAGTATCCAGTATCCCGGATACTCCTCTTGACCAGCAGGACGCTCTTCTTGTCAAGTATTTCTCGATAATCTTCTTGTCCTGCTGTAACTAGGTATTCTTGACCAGCTGTGTCAAAATATTCTTCTTGACAAGAATATTCGAGTATACTCCACTTCCTTTACGGAGGATATTACTCTTCTTCCCGGATACTCTTGCTCTCGTCCAGCAGTTGGTCGGATAATCTTTTTTCCTGTTCGCGGGGTAGAATTTACGAATGTAACCAAAATGACAAAAGTCAATGGTACATATAATTACAACATTTCTACTTTTTACAATTATTTTTTTGACCTTCTGTGAAGGTTTATTATTATGTTTGTGTTTCATTTTATTTGAACAACGCGCAAAATTGTGAATTTGAAAGGGTTATAGGGTTACTTTTATGATTTTTTTTTTTTATAAATCTAATACTTTTTTTTTTTTTTTAATGGAAGGGATTTTCAGAGTTCTTTTATAATGAAAAAAATTTTTTTTATTGTTATAATAATTTGGTTATTAAATGTAACAATGACTTACATTTTTACACAAAGAATCCTTACCAACTTTTTTGTCTGTTGGAATGATTATAAAAAAAAGCTGGTTTTTTCGGTTACACAATTTTATAGCACAAATAAAAGGTTTTGAACTTTAATTACTTTTTTTTTTTTTACCAAAAAAAAATCAAAATTCCGTAAAGTTTTATATTAATGGATTGATTTACAAGAAATACTGCTAAAAGTAGGCATTCAATTGAAAAAAAAAAAAATGAGGGTTCGTTTGATCAAAAATAGATTCTTTGTAATTACAATTAACTGTCAATAACAAACGTTCTTCATATGGATGTGGAATAAGATATGGAGACAACTTATTTAGAACATAAAATTTGATACAACAGATAAACAAATTGTTGGCTGATGTATTACGTTTATTATTTCCCTATTAAGAAAATTTTCTGGTCCGTGGATAATTTAGAATTTAGAACCAATTTATTATCGAATAAAAAAAAAGTTACATATTTTTTTTTTTTTTAGTTATTTGAAGAGCAAAGAATGTCACACATTCTTTAAGATTTTTCATGCATTTTAATTTAATCCTTTTTGTATTTTTGATTGATAATATTTTGATGCGTTGAACATATTGGTGAACTTTAGAAAACAGACTGTCAATTCCATTACATTATTCTTTAGAACATGTTTTATCCGTGATACGAATCACATTGTGATTTATACACGTTTCACTTTTAGAATTGAGAATAGATAGTATTAATAATCGTATTGCTGAATAATTGTTCCATTTAGAAATTGATGATTGTATATTTTAATCATTAAAATATTATTTACCGATGATCCCTTTTTAGAAAAGAAAGAGTTATATTCAATCGAATCTATAATGACTCCGCCACAAATAATACCATAGTTATGTAAATTATGTACAAATGTGATCGTTGAAAGTGATCGAAAAACTGCGCCACAAACCAAATAGTCAATCGTAACTATTTTTGATTAACCTGTATGCATGTCTCATTTGAAAGTCGCGGATTTGTTTGTATTTTGTATCCCTTCGTATTGAAACGCTTGAAGTTTTTATTTTCGTGAAACTTTAAATCATTAAATTGTACAAATTATCCTATTCATGATGACAAAAATAGATAATATTTTCCGGTAACATATTTGACCAAAAAATGTGGTTGTGTATCTATAGTAATATTCGGACAAAATAGATATTGGGATATACTGTATATAAGCTGTTACACAATTTTATGATAACGGTTCAAAGAAAGTCGACTCGAAATTAAGATTCAATCGAATATGTAAAACAATATGAAAAAAAAATTTTATTTTTGATTGTATTATACATATACATGTAAAAAATAAGTTCCTAAAATTTTATCAACATCGATACGATAACTTTCTGCATGTTGTGATTGATTTACTTGTATATTCATAAACCTTAAA